TCCGAACCCTCGGCGGGAGTGCCACCGCACTCCCAAGCAGTGCACTCTCCAGTGCGCCACCGGGCCGGCCCTAAAAACCAAACTCTTAAGCTACAAAATGCATCTCCTCATAATAGCACTTGGAGAAGTGCTGAAAGCAAACAAAAAGTGAGCAGAAGAGGGACCAGTCTTCTGCAACTGAGAGGACAGGCTCCACAATGCAGTATAATGATGGTGTTATAAATCACTCGTTCATGCAAAGCAAGACTTTCCCTGGAAGTGTATCATTGAGTGTGCAGAAGGGCTTTTTGACAAAAGGAGGTCTGGTTAAGAGATGTGAAAAACCAAGTTTTAAAAGCATATCAGGCTTCTAAGACATGTCTGAATACCTCACAGACAGTGGGGAAGCTAAGGATTCAGCTTACACCACAGACAACCAGGCTGGTCGTATGCGCCTGTGCTTTTCTCTCTGTTTTTGCAGAAGAGTCATCAGGCATGTTTTCCCTAGGAAGATCATCCTCCTCAAGGTGAGCCATAGAACAGGTGAACTGGTGCTGATGACACCTAGAGATGCTCCTTTGGTTGACTGCTGAACAGATCTAAAACAAACCTGTGTGTAACCTGGGATTAGCTGCAATAAGATGCAAATGAAGTTCTCAGGGATTCTGAGACATCTAAGTTTTAGACTGACGTGTTACTAAAGGTAATGAATGCTAGCTGCTATATCAAATAACCCCAGACATGTACAGTGGCTCAAACATGGTAAATGTTTATTTCTTGCTTATGTAAAGCCCAAAGTGACTGTCTCGGATTTGCAGGTGGCTTTCCTCCAAATTTTGACTTGGGGACCCAGGCTCTCTCTATCTTGTGGCTCATCCATTTTTCACACATGGCTTGCAGGGCTGTCTTGCTTGTCTGCATGAAACTGGTAGAAGAGGGAAAAACATGGGTGAACACATGTGAGCGCATTTTCAGGACCAGGCCTGGGAATGCCTGTGCACTGCAGGAGGCTAGTTCTGTGCCCAGGGAGAAGTGGGGCATAGCAAGTCTCTGTCCTAGCTGGTGTACTGTGGTTTCTCTGTTTCTTTGAAATCACTTTAGGTTCTCAGTTATTTTTTTTT